TGTCACTGAATTGTTTGTGTGCAAGCACTGATGGGTAAAGGTAAAGAAAAATGGGAAGTTAATGGGAAAAAAGTATTTTTACCTTCAATTGTCCAGAATGCTTAGAATGATTCTACAGTTTACATCAGATTGACGTTTGTATCTACAAGATATATTTTTTGTTTAAATCTGTTTATTTTTGAGGAAAGATTTTGGTTTCTCTTTGGGACGAGGGTTTCTAGGATGAAGGCTCATATTGCCCCTGGTCCTCTGGCCTTACTGGAGGGACAGGACTGGAGGATCATGGGCAATGTGCTCAGTTTTATTTGATCTTTTTCTTTTCCTTTGCTATTATTTATTGATAGATTTATTGTGCTGTCATTTGGTATGGGATTAGAAACTAAGCAAGGTTGACTCAACGTAAAGGAGAGGAGACTGAATGAAAAACTAAAGTACATAAAATAATTGTAGTGTAAATCTATCAATGTCTTATTATATTGATGAACATCATGAAATATATGTATATTGGAAAAACAGTACCTATGACAACTTGTACTTTTGTGTGTGCTTCACGTGCTTTGTGGGTGTGCAACAATGGGCAGATGCAATTTTGACTGCAATTCTGGGACCTATCTGACCTGTATGAATAAGCATAAATTTATTATCAATACAAAGAAAAAGCTCTTTCTTTATCCTATTAACATGTGTTTTAAAAATACATGCAGACTTGGAGACATAAAAGTGCACATTTCTGTATTAATTCAGAGTCACTTAAGACAAAGCAGTGTTTCTATAGCTGACGTCCACATCCTACTGCCTCACACCGACACACACACACATATAAAATATGCACTTAGTCCCATTTATCAGCAGTTAAAACTAGGGCTGCACGAGTAACCGAAATATTATCTAAGTCGCAATATGGCAATATCCAAAAGGCAGAAGCTGCAATTTTTTGATAAAGGTACAGTGTTTAACAAACAGCATTATAATGAAGTACTGTAGTTACGAATAGATGACCAGGCCCACAAATCTTTATCCAGATTTAATGTATGTTGGGTACAGACCCCAAAAAATGAAAGTAAAAATGTGTTTATGCAAGAATGATCATTTCCACACTAATTGTTAAATATATCTCACAATATCTGTAACAGCATCATCACAATATATTTTTCACCATATCATGCAGCCCTAGTTAAAACTACAATCCTCTGTTAAAGAGCATGAAGAGCCATATGTGTTGAAAGTGATAACAATAACATTTAAAGAGACATTATCATTGAAATATAGTATATAAAAGGCATTCTTCCATTTGATGCTGTATGTTATCAACGAAACATGATTAATCCCTTACTGTGCTTCATGCAGCACATTAGGGTTAAAAGTATTGGAGGGTTAGTTAATGTTAGTATCCTAACATTTCCACAGTCATGCAGACTGATGGAGCAGTATCCTCCATTCCCAGTCTATCACCAACTAGTAATGGTAGTCGGAGTAGAGTCACTTCCGGCGACTTTTATTTTGAAGTTCACATGGTAGCTTTATATATATTGTATCCAAATCATTGTATCATACTCCCTTCATTCCTTTATTAGTTATTTAGTTCATAATGAACAGACTACTCTTCATAAACCCCGTATTAACTGCCAGACATAGCCAAGCTAACGTTAGCCCTCAGAAACGCTGACTAACGTTAGTAACGTTACACAGAGAGGAAGGGTTTTGTGCATTATTAGCTGACACATCGCTGTGCTGATATTTTCTTCACTTTCTTTCTTCAGTTGCTTGGTCAGCTCAGAACATTGTTCCCCTGCGCCCACAACCGTCTGTCTGACACCAGCATCAAATCCAACCTCTTACAGCCGAGCTACCGGCTAATCGCCTACTACAAGATATTAGCCAAAGCCTAATGAGCTAACACCACTTTGAAGCTGACAGTGTGTGGTCTGGTTAAAACACACGGCTACTATAGTGGGAATACCACTATATATAAACATATATTTGTGATGCTTTGTCCGTAGAAGAAGACGAAACTGCAGGGTGACTGAATACGGGTGAAGAGTGAACCCACCTCCTCTCACACCGCAGCTCCCCGGCGCCCAACTTGTAGTTTCAGGTTTTCACCACCAGGTGTCACCATGACAATAGTATGGGCATGCATATTGTGGACCCACTGTCACACACTTACCTGTCTGCTAACTCATCATAAATATATATCACATAACGTCTACGTTACATAGCATCACTGCATGTAAACATTTGGTTCTGTGGATCACAGTGTGTTAAAAAGACACAACACACAAACACAAGTATAATCATTAGAGTCCACTACACAGACTATATATATATATAGTATACAGGAAACAGAAAGGATGGGAAATGTGTCCTATGTTGCTTTTTATGTATTTACAAGTAGCAAAAGTCCACCAGTGCAACCACAATCCCTTTTCTTTCACTACATTTTTGGCCAATTAGTCATCCATATTAACAGTCAGGCATGACTGTATGAATGTCTGCAATTTCCGCTGCAATTTTCATTTTTGAAACTTAGCACCGAATTTGAATTTATCGCTTGAGAAGAAGAAGAAGCAGAGATTCCTTTTTGCTGTTTCCACTGTGAAAGTGAGGTTTTCTTCATGAGGTATGATATTGTCATTATAATACCTCGACTTACTGGCAGCTGATGATGTGTCTCCTGAGCTGTTGCCATGAGAAGTGAGGGAAGGCTCCCAGCATTAAGTGTGATACTGTATGCTTAATTTTAGTAGTTGTTAGACAAACATGTGGATCCTCAGTGTGTTTTAGGGTTCTTATTACAAGATTTCACTTCAGTGCAACATCCCGTTAATGCCAAATGAGGTGCTGTGAGCTTTTTAGCACATTGTCCATACACTGAGCGCACAATATCACATTCTTTCATGCAGGTCACAAAGAAAATAGCTATTAGGCCTTATTGACATCCCTCTTTATATCTAAGAAAGCAAATTAGCTTACAAAGTGGGAATCTTGGATGCTGCTAGAAATTGAGGACAAATGTTGATATTTGATACAGTTTAGAGTCTTCTGGTGCCTGGCTCCATCTGTAATGCTGTTGAAGGATTTCTCTGATTAAAAGCAGGATACCATTCCTACTTTAATCTTTATCTCTCTCCATGTCTTTCTATTTATTGCAGAGGTCACATGAAATTTGGCCCGCCGTACTGCACTGCATAATTGGAAGACCGATCTTTTTTTAACCTGCGGAGAGTGAATTTGAGAGGAACCACAATTACAGAGAACAGATGGGTCTACGATTATTGTGAAATCATCAGTTTCGGTCTGTCACCTTCTCAGATGGATTCACACAACTGCAGACACATTGGTTTTTATCCTGTTTTACACCTCCCCAGCGCACTGCCACATTTAATAGTGTTTTTATAAATTGAAGAGATTATCTTAGACTTAATGAGAGAGTAATTTGCCGAGGGAATGTGGGGACTACAGTTATCTGTTGGCTCAGGAAAGCATGAACATGACCTAACTCTGGGGTTCATGCAAAAACAACTTCTCACTTTGTTAAACTGCCTCTCTGTCAGATCGTTTTAAGTTTGTTTTCCATTTTTCTGATTTCTTCAACCCCTCCTCTCCTTACCCATCTCTCTCCTCTTCACAAGAGTCATCTGCTCCCCCATGCTGCTCCCTCTGACTCTCCAAAAGGAATGCACGTTCTGCTTGAAGGATTCGTCAGGAGTTATTGCAGAAACCTACACCCTTGGATTGGTTGCTAAGTGTAAAGGTCACTGTTACTCCCACACATCATGGCAGTGGCTGCACAGTTGTGCACACTTAGACACTGTCCGCCCCCCAGCAGACTCTGCACGTCATTGCATTCCTGCTTCTGCTGCCTGTTATCAGGACTTTGGGTTAACACAAACACTGCACAGCAGGACCAGGGAATGCTCATTTCTCTCGCTCACTAGGACCATCTAAACTGTCAAAGTTCACACTTCTTTACCTGCGGCACCAAAAATATTTCAAGCAGGCCGTAAAACCTGAAAGAATATTATTAACACAGTGTAAAAAATGATCTGAAGTCATATGCCACATGTAACTGGAGACACAATCTCTCTGTGGAAACTTCGCTTTGTGCTTTTATGAGCTGTCCATCCTGCTTGTGCCTCACTTTGATCAAGGTGCTGCAGCTCTGTTGTCTGTAAAAGTGGCTGATTTTATTGCATTATTCTAACAGCATCCCCTCCACAGGCCTCAGTAATGTAGGCCAGAGGGTTGGCTCATTGGTGAATGTTAACAGGGAAAAAATACTCCCCCATCTAGAGTGTTATTCTTGCCTTGGTGGATTGTGGGGGCAATAGATGCTCTCTTGCGCACATGTAATGGAGCCAAAGGAGCCCCTGGGGCTTGAGGAAACACGGTAAGAGGAAAGAGATCATTGGTTTTTTGATACTTCTCTGTTTAGGTCCTATTGTAGCTCCTTTTGGATCCTGTATGTATTTTGTTTAAACTAGATGGCTGAAGTTTGAAATGTCATCCAGAACTGATACTGTTTGTAAATTAAAGGTCTCACATGTTGTTGTGGAATGTAAAGATTTATGGCCCAAATAGTTGAGTGCTACCGCCCATAGAGCCTCAGGCTCTGGCCCCACCTGTGCAACCCTGCATAATGTTCAGTCAGTCATGGACATTAATTAAGTTAACAACCATCCAAACTCAATTTCAAGCTTCTTTTACTGTAAGTTTCAACCATGTGATGAACCAGAAACATCTGCTGTAAAATGACACTCCTTTCACTCCTTTCTGAATGTCCACAAAGCCTCAGCCACAGCTTCTGGCACTACTCCCCTCTGCCCTTCGTTCCTAGATGCCCTCTCTGTTATATTGGAAAGCAGGGCTATTATGGAGAAACATCTGGCTCTAATTAAAGCCTTCTCCTCCCTCCGTCCCTCCCTCTCTCCCCACTCACGTCATCCCCCCTTCATGGCTCTTTGTCGCCTCCGTTGTCTTTCCAGCATCTCCGTCTGTCTCTTTACCCATTCTCGAACTCTCTTCCCCCTTCGATTCCTCCCTACTCATTCATTCTCTCCGCCCATCCCGAGCGAGCGGCCTCCTCCTCGTCCTCTCCCCCTCTGTCTTACACCTCTTGCCTCCTGCTACCACCTCCCTTTTCTGCAATAGTCTGCTTTGCTTTGTGTGCACGCTGCATCATGGTGCATGTGGGTTGCATCTGGGGTCTCTCCTTGTTCCTGTCTCTGAGTTTAGGATGGACGAAGGCTCAGCAGACCAATAGCACCAGGTGAGGAGAATGTGAATATTTAAGAAATGTGTCATAGAAAACTTTGTTGAGGTTTTAAGTGAGGATATTATTCTTAGTTTGAACAAAATTCAACCAACTGAGTTCAGATTGAAAAACACTGAATTCTTTCCGGTCTCTGTAAGTAAATTCTTTCCAGTTCAGTGTTTGATTGGGCACAGAGTTGTCCTGTTGGTTTTTGGCTCATGATGTGAGGCACACTGAGTCTGCAGTAGTTGAGCCAGATGTTAATGCTTTTGGTTGTGCCTGTGCGGTCGAATCAGAGCAACTTGGCTCTGGCTCTGGACATCTTGGCTCTAATCAGTAAGCGTCTGACTTTGCTGGGGTTCTGCTGTCTGAGCTTGTCTGTTTTTCCACTGCATACTTAGGTATTTGTTTACTTCTTCACAATTGGGGATGACAGACAAATGTTTTCTATCTTTCTTACATTTTGTGAAATGTCATGTATAACCCTAAACAACATAGTTTTCACAGTTGAGCCAAAAACAACATCTCTCCACACCACACTGTAAAATGCCAAAAAATAACAACTTCATAACGTAATCACGAGTATACAGACAAGTCTTGTGCATCCTTGCTGGCAACATCCTGAAATAGGAAATTTTCCCTTCTGTGAAATGAGCTTTGACATTCAGTGTTTGGAAAGCAACAGAATTTATTAGCTGAAGTGACACAATAACTATGAGGTTAGAATAGTCAGCTGTAAAATATGCTTGTCAGCTATATCTTAAAAACTGAGCTACAGATCTTTTTTTTTCATGCCTCATTTTTATGACTCTAAAGCAGTAGTTTCCTTTTCTAAACCATAGCAGAGTTATTTTTTGTTGTGAGCTGAGGCACAACTTCATATT